GCCAAATACCCCTTAAACATTAAACACTAAATACCCCCACAGCTAAATAAAACGTATCCATTAGTAGTTTTTAAAATAAATACATAGAATAAAGTAACCACAAAGGCATTACACATCATAGATAGCACTCACAATGCTTCAGTGAACTTCAGGTTACATTGTAGGCACTGCATGTTGTGTATATGTATAACTGGAACTATTTACACTCAATGGTGCATCTGTCCATTTTAAACAACAATAAAAACATCACTGTCAACAACAGTAAATAATTATCTGTTTTAAAAAGTCAGCAGTGAATAATAATTATGCAGCGTTTGTCAGTAGCAGGACAGTTTTGCACCCCTGATGTAAACACAGAGTCAGTATGTAGTACTTCTGCTGTAAGACATGAACCTAACCTTTCATAACAACCCTAGTTCTGAAAATTGCCTTGGAAGTTGACCTGGCGCTTACATTCAGATGTCCCTGAAAGCCTCAATTACCTGGAGCTCACCTGGTAGATCTCCAGGATCAGGATTGGGCACCAATTGCGTAACATCAGTTTTATGACCTGCATCACTTTTGGTGGTGGTGTTCTGGTGCATTGAGCCACAGTGCTTTTTCCTTAGGAGGGGTTAAAATGGGAAGAAAAAAGCTTAACGGAGTTTAAGAGGTTCAGCAGCACAGACTGCTTATGACCAGTAGTAAGTGTGAGAGGATTCATCTTCCTAGGTTGTTGTTCTAGTACATTAAGGCACGTCAGGATTTTTTTCCTTGCAGTGGGTTTAAATGGGAAAAGCAATCTTAATGTAAAAATGATTATTTTCATTTTGGATCACAGGTTCATCCTTTCAGAGGTAAAGAGTTTGTTATTAATCAGTTGAATCTCTAGGCTGTTTATTTTCTGGTAGAAGTGCATGTAGATTTGAGTGTCATATTATGACCTATAACAACCTATAAAGTGGCAGATTTGTGGCAAAATAATGAAAATTGGCAATAATCTCAATAAAGATAATATAATAAAAAAATAACAGTGATAATACTAATAATTCTGTACACAGCAACTCCTGTACTGAAGTGGATGTACTTCTTTTTATGTACACGCTGATATAAAGAAATGAAATACAGCTACTTACATCAGAATTATGACTGACAAACAGTCAGAATTACCTCAGCAACTTTTTTGTAAAGGCTACACAAATGAATATATAATTATTTTTTGGACAGCCACACAACAGTGAATAAATATTTTGGTTTATTTATTTTTGTTTAATTATTATGTTGTGACAGCAGCCAGGTAAAACACAATACTGAGTGAGAACAGTCCTAATGTTTGATTTGTTTTCACAGGCTAGTAGTTTGGGATGGAGTAGTCCGTGTGCACGTGTTCAATCCCAGCGCAGAGAAGCACCCACTAGGCTTCTTAAGGCTGAATTAATGCCGCGCAAGACTCTCCAAACAGCAAGCAAACCGGAAGCGAAGACGTTAGCGTTTATAGTCAGCGCTTCAGTCATTGCAGTGCTCTCTGTGATGGAGGTTTCTTGCAAGTGCCTGTGGAGGTGAACCTGCCCAGCAAATCTCCCATCAAATTCATTCATTTTGAATGAAGCACTGTACACAGTGAGTGCCCAGTTAAAAACATTTGGAGGTGCGCAACCATGTGACGCAACGCTGCACAGGCTGTAATACAGTGTACTGCCACTGAACAGCTGCATGTTTCATTAAGAAACATGCATAATTAGTCTTGTTTTATTGGATTTAGTGCAGTTCAATGTGAAGAAAAAACCTCATTGACCAGTACTCTCCTAAAGTTCTTTCGTAAATTAATTCTTAAGAAAGGTCCTAAGAAAAAGTCTACATCAGATTCATTATGGGTTCTTAAAGCAGAACTCTTCATACCGTTGTGCTCTTGAGTATGAGTAGATTCTGTTAGATTCTAGTCTTTGTGAAAACTGTGTAAGTGGGTTTTTTGGGCAGAAGAAATTTCTTCTTAAGAACGGTTGGTGGTCAATTGGCCCAATGTGGCCAAGTGTGGCGCTAAGTGGGCATCATGTCTGTGTCAAATTATCATGTCATCGAACTGAGCTCTGATAGTTCAGTATTATACTCTTTCGTCTTAAAATATTATATTAAAAAAGAAAGTGTTTCACTCCAGCTCCTCTGAGCGCCGCACATTCAGGAGAAACTACAGACAGTAGAGTTATTGAGTTTATCATGCAATTCTGTGTGTATGAATGACGTGAGTATCCTTAGCAAACTCTTGTGAAGGCCTGTATGACGTTGTTAGTCATGTGCTCAAGTTAGTTTCACTTTGGCAGACGTGGTTTAGATCTAGGTTTTAGTGAGTTATTTGTAGCTGCACTTATTAGTACTTAACATTTTATCATTAAATTCTGAGAGGAGGATGTTACTGTGATATATATACGATCTGTGGCTCGGGTTAGTGAAGGTTTTGTTACTCGCTGTTCGTTGTACACACACACATCATCATATTGATGCTGCAGCCTTTATGATTACAAATGTAGAAAGTTCAGTCATCTGCCACCCTGAGCTCTGACAGGAACTCCAGACTGACCAACACCTGGAATTCAGGAGTAAAGAAACATCTCTAACTTTATTTATAAGTTATTATTGGTTTTGAGGTAAACATTAACAAACCTGTCTGTTGTACAGTCTCAAAAAAAGGTACTGTATAAGTACACTTCTGTTTTCCAAAACACAAACAATGTAAATGTTCCCTAATAGGAACAGTAATGGTCTTAAGGCTCAGTTGTGTTTTAAAAGCTACACTACATTCACTTCCCCAGGGGAACAGGACAAATTTGTGCCTATTTTTTAAACCTTTTTAAAATAGAAAAATAAAGTAGAAAGCCTGGAGTAAAGATGGAGAGTATGGAATCAAAGTTAACTTCAAAATTATATATATATATAAAATCATTGCAATTAAATACGGCCTAAAGATCCTACTTTTTTCTGAGAGTGTACATTTAGTGTGTTGTATCATCGCATCAGAACATACACTATATGGACAAAAGTATACCTTCACATTACACTTACAGGAGCTTTTATGACATCCCATTCTAAATCCATAGGCATATGGAGTTGGCCCCCCTTCTACAAAATTTTGAAGTGTGCCTGTGGGAATTTTTGCCTGTTCATTTGTGCATCAGAGCATTTGTGAGCTTAGACACTGATGTTGGACGAGAGGGCCTGGCTCCTAGTCTCTGTCCTACTTCATCCCAAAGGTGTTTGATGGGGTTGAGGTCAGGGCTCTGTGAGGGCCAGTTAGGTTCTTCCACACCAAACTCGCCCAGCCATGCCTATATATAACTAGGGCACGGTCATGCTAGAACAGAAAAGGGCTTTCCCCACAATGTTACCACAAAGTTGGAAGCAGACAGTTGTCCAAAATGTCTTGGTATGCTGAAGCATTAAGATTTCCCTCAACTGGAACTAAGGGGTTTAGGCCAATCCCTGAAAAACAACCCCATAGCATTATCCATTAGCAAACTTTACAGTTGGCACAATGCAGCCAGGCAGGTAGTGTTCTCCTGGCATTCACCAACCCAGACTCGTCCATCTGATTGCCAGATAGAGAAGCACGATTCGTCACTCTACAGAATACATTTTCACTGCTCCAGAGTCCAGTGGCGGCGTGCTTTACGCCACTCCATCCAACACTTGGCATTGTGCTTGGTGATGTAAGGCTTGGATGTAGATGCTCGGCCATGGAAACCCATGCCATGAAGCTCCGGGCACACAGTTCTTGTTCTGATGCTAGAGGAGGTTTGGAGCTCTGCAGTTATTGATCAGCAAAGCGTTGGTGATTATGCGCCTCAGCACTTGGTGACCCGCTCTGTAAATTTACATGGTCTGATACTTCATGGCTGAGTTGCTATGGTTCCTAAATGCTTCCACTTTTCAGTAATAACACTCACAGTCGATCATGGAACATCTAGGAGGGAAGAAATTTCGCGAACTGACTTGTGGCAGTAGTGGCGTCCTATTACAGTACCATGCTCTAATTCACTGAGCTCTTTAGAATGACCCATTCTTTCACAAATGTTTGTAAAGGCAGGCTGCATGGCTATGTGCTTGATTACGTACACCTGTGGCAACAGGACTGAGAACACCAGAATTTAATAATTAAGAGGTGTGTCCCAATACTTTTGTCCATATAGTGTAAATGTGTATTAAGATGGATTGACTTTCGAAGTCAGTATGGCATATAATTGTGTATGAGAACACTGTTTCCTCCGGTCAGCACAGACGTGTGTGTGTGTGTGTGTTTATTTACGTGTAAACATAGAAATGCCATGCATTCAAGCTTGAAATGTATTATTTGTGACACAGAATTTTACTTTCATCAAATAAAAATATTTACAAAGTGGAAATTTATAAATATTAGGATTTAAAGGCTGGATTAGCTAGATTCGATCGGATTAGTATCAGTACTCGGTATCAGTCGAAACTTTAGGAATCAGGTAACGTTGTCTGTATCGGAAGGGGATAAGTGGTATTGGTGCATCCCTAATAAAATGAAAGCTGAAAAGAATTTATATATAATTTTCATTTATCATCCGAACGTGTCCTGAATTTCTATTTCGGTTTTGGCCACAAATTTTCATTTCATTGTGTTGCTACACACCCACACACACCACTCCTAAATTAGACATATGCTTTGATGACAGAGACACATGACACAGCTCTCATGCCATAGGGTCATATCAAGTCCAAGTCAAGTGTTCAGTTCCTTCTTCTCTCCAGCAGCAGCACCAAATGAACTGCTGTATATATATTTTTTTTTAGGCATTTTTAATTATGTTTTGCTCGATGCAGTGTTTGCACATGTTTCGATAATGTTCAGTGTTCTGCAGGCTGTGTGTGTGTTGTGCTGAGGTGTGCAGCTTTGGCTGCAGAGAATGTCATATGACTATTGGATCACATGCTCCGTGTGTGTGTGTGAGTGTGAGAGAGGGAGAGAAAGAATGAGAGAGACTGTCATGTGATGTTTGAGTTCTGTCCAGTCCATCATCAGATAGATAAGAACGAAACTCCTTACATGCTGAAACGCCCCCCTGCCTGTATATGTGTCTCTCTCTCTGTAGTGAAGCTTTAGATGACAGAGAGCTCACAGAGAAGTGAGAGAGCTCACAAGACCAGAAGGAGTCTGCGTGTGTGCGTAGTGTTTTACTGAATTAAAAATGAAGATTAAGAGTCAAAGGAAGTCCAGCTCAGTGTGGCTGCTCAGTATGCAGTCAGTTCTACACGGCAGGTACTCTCTCGCTGTGTGTGTGTGTGTGTGTGTGTGTGTCCATATGCATGTGTGATGATTTGAGTTGGACACAATACGAGGTGAGACCGGTCCGACACCAAGTATCTGTATCAGACTGAGATCAGTATAATAGGCTACTTTTAGGTGCTCATCATTTTAAAGCTTAGTAGGTTGTAAAGAGGTGCAGGTTCACTGCTGGTTACTGTCAAAACCACCAGTGAACCTACAAGTGTCTTCTGAGTTTATATGTCGTCTCTGTATCTCCGAAATGGTAACTGTAAAGGAGAACGTAAAAATATTCTTTACTGTTAATGTACGACTTTTTCTGAAGTCATTTTGGAGCATTTCTTTTGGTCAGTTCGTCATGCAATTTTGACAAAGTGTAAAGAACAGCTGCTGTGCTGATATGATGCAGAAAAAAAATGGACATACATGTTTGTTTTTCTAGATAGTGACGATATGTAATGATAGTAGTAAATCAGAAAAAAAATAAATTCTTTGTGGACTCTTCTGCATTATATATATATAAATTTTAGACCAAAATCTTCTCAAAAATGCCGTTAAACAATGTCTCATGTAGTAGCTTTCTGTGATGAAGCTTTTAGAGGTATTAAACACTTCAGACATTGCTAGAATAGAGCATTTTACATCTAAACACTCCAAATGACTTTGTCTGCATATTAACCATTTAATTCTCTTGACATTCTGAAATTCCCCTTCAGGTACTACTGAGTGTCAATGCATTCAGTACCAAATTTCAGTATGTAAGTAGTCTGTCTTATCATCATCTGTGAGCCAGTAAGCATGCTTGTTACCAAAAAAATGTCACCATATACTATATAGATATACACTTTTTAATATATATTTATTTAGATTTATGTGTATTTATTTGAAAGCAATGTCTGATTTTTAGATATTTTTTGTGTCATTAAAGAAGCAATTAAAAATTCATTTTTCCATTTGTATCAAAGTCGAGGTATCTGTATTGAAAAATATTTAACAATACCCAGTCTTGGGTATCAGTATCGACCCATACATAAGATTTTAAAATCCGTGTTGCGAAAGAAAAATGGTTTCATGCCATCTCTAATTTGAGGCGTCCTGTATTGTCAAGGCCATCTCGCCTTTGATTGAGTGGACAGTCTGAGATTTCTCTTTCAGAAGTATCTGGTGTGATGAGTCAGTTGTGTTTGCAGTTGAAATTGGCAAACTGCGTCTCTCCACCAGTGTTGCATGTGAGTTGCGCATGAATTGTTGACTAATGGTCAAATGCTTCAACATGCGGCTGGTCATGACATTGGATCAGCATGTTCACTGCCATGCAGAAATCTGATATATGGATTTCAAATATATGGCATATAAGCTTATGGATTTCACTTATGTCCAGCTTATATTAGTCACATATGGCCATATGTGTGACATATATGCAAAACCTATTTAAAACTGGCTATTTTTAAATATATACATTTACATATATTTCAGCCATTTATCAGCATTTACAAACATACCTGTGTAAAACATACATTTAAAAGTCTATGATAGAAAACATTATGACTATATGCTAAATTGCCTCTAGGTGTGAGTGTGTGTGTGTGTGTGTGTGTGTGTGTGTGTGTGTGTGTGTGATTGTATATGTATGTATGTCTGTCTGTCTACCCTGCAATGGACTGGCAACCTGTCCAGGGTGTATCCTGCCTTCCACCCAGTGACAGCTGGGATAGGCTCCAGCACCCCACCGCGACCCAGAAGGATAAGCGGTTTAGATGATGTATGTATGTATGTATGTATATGTATGATTTATGCATCAAACGTCAGACGTACATTATGTGTATGATCCATATTTTATGCATGTGTTCACCCACCTATTACAAACATACAGGTACAGTATTTTGAAATATATGCCTCACTCTTTATGATAAGTGTGCATATATGGTGTCCTATCAGATCCCCGTATAGGCAGACCTTCTCACCTTAGAGCTCAAATCTTTCCATTTTGAACCACAATTCCATAATTTTGGCTTTACTTTACATACAAATAGGAGAGTAACAGGCTAAAATCATACCATTCAAAAGTTTGGAATCACTTGCCGTGACACAATTTTTTAAATTTTGTACATAATAATACCTTATAATGTGGATTTGAGTATAACAACTTATTTGCCAGAAGGTATATTTAGATGTTTTATTCAACATTTTTTTAATTCTGTGAACATTGTTATTAAATGATAAATAATATTCTGTAATAATCTGTTCACATTCATTTTTTATTAAGCGATCTATCTTGAGATTTGATCTCCACTTTTGAAATCTGAATAATTTTGCACAGGACCAACATAGAATAATTTTATACACTTCTCTGCAGATCAAATGTTTTATTTTATTTAAATAACTTTGTCCCAACGCATTTCTTCAGCATGCTTTTGTTTTGTTTTAATGTATCAGGTACAAATTTAACTTATTCAGTGCCATTTAACCCCTTGGACTGAAGGTTTATTATTAGATCTACATTCTGACCGCAATATCCATAAGAGTTCCTGAGCAAATAACCGGCTGACCACAGATAAGAAAACATTACCAGCCAAGTAATATGAGCTCTTCTTGACTGATTAAACTGGTAGGGTTTTGTATCAGATAAAGCTTGAGTAACAGAGACTACCCTTAAGATAAGTTAATGAGCTAATGATTTTTCCATTGCATTTTGTTCTAGAATGGTTAGCCTTGTGACAGCCGCACTACTTCTACTTTTCCAGTCACACCCTTAACAGTATGTATCCTTCCTGTTAAAGGTCTAAAGGTTAAAGTTTTTTCATTAGAGAAGCACAGAAAAGCAGCCTATCTTACACTGCCATGCAAAATTTGTGTTGCTTCTTCATTATTTCTGCATTTTTCAAATATACAGCTTTTCTGTTGCTGTGTCCCTGATAAAAGCCTTTTTTGTTGAATGAAACATTATTGTCAGACTAATATCTGCAGGATTTTGGTTCCCAACTAATTGTTTAATCAAAGTCATGATGAATGAATCGATTATGTTGCAGCCCTACTCCAATGTTCATCAAAGTATCTTCTTTGGTATGAAAAGCGTTTTTTTTTAATGAACTATTCCTGGACAGTGAGTGGACACAGTGTTTAAAAACTAGCAGCACTAAAGTGTCTGATCCAATCGTATCAGCACAACACACACCAACATGCCACCACCGTGTCTGTGTCACTGCAGTGCTGAGAATGATCCACCACCCAAACAACACCTGTTCTGTAGTGGTCCTGTGGGGGTCCTGACCATTGAAGAACAGGATGAAAGGGGGCTAATAGACTACAGTCTATAATTATAGGAAGTGCTCCTTTATTGTAAGTGAAGATGATAAAATGGACAATAAGTGTACAAACAAGGAGGTGATCCTTATAAAGTGCTCGGTGACACTTCAATTTCATAAGAACCATGAGATGTCAGGACTCTGTCCTCCTCCAGAGGGCAGTAAAGAGCCTGCGTCTTGTGTTTTAGTCAGAGTCTGTTATTTGTTAAGGAAGGAAGCGTAAAAAGACGTAGAAAGCTCACTACTGCACATCAGACGAGAAGCTCTGTACAGCCCTGACAGAGCTTCTCTCACGCTGGGTAAGCTGACTAGTGTTGGAATACTCAAGTTCAGTCTCAGGACCATAAACTAGTGGTCTCGGTCTGGTCTTGATCTTAATCTTGGGTTTGATGCCTCTGTCTTAGGTAATTGGAATTATTGAATATCAACAAAACAAGAATAAACTGAATCAAACGGTCCTTTCTCTGCTACACTATATAGGTGCACTTTGTAGTTCTACAATTACAGACTGTAGTCCATCTGTTTCTCTGCACAGCAGCACTGCTGTGTCTGATCCACTCAGACCCGCGCAACACACACTAACACACCACCACCACGTCAGTGTTACTGCAGTGCTGAGAATGATCCACCACCCAAATAGTACCTGCTCTGTGAGGGTCCATGGGGGTCCTGACCACTGAAGAACAGGGTAAAAGGGGACTAACAAAGTACGCAGAGAAACAGATGGACTACAGTCTGTAACTGTAGAACTACAAAGTGCACCTATATAGTAAGTGGAGCTGATAAAATGGACTCTAACTCTTCACAAACTCACGGTTTTCCTGCTGAGCGGTATGAGGTGAAATATGATGTGGCTAGGCTAATAGCATAAGCAGAGGTGAAAACAAGCTGATTTCATTGTTTATGATAAAGACTTTAGACTGACACCTTTCTTGGTGTACATTTCAAGCCACATCACTATGGATTTGTGGTCTGGCTTTAATATAGTACAGTGATGGTAACATGCTGAGTGGAGTTACTGGCCTTCTGATGGCAGCCTGTAGACTGATAAGGTTATTATTTGAATGTTGTTCAAATAATTCCTTAGAAAATCTAAATATCAAGTGGCTAAAATGTCCATCCCTAGAATAAATCTGCCTAGCCTTTTAATGTGTGTGATTATTGCAACCTGAAAAGGAAAGCATGCTTATTTGTAAGAAGTGTGTCCCCAAACTTTCGATGGGCAGCGTGCATATGTTTAAAAGCATGTCCGATGACTGTAGAGGTTGCTCATGGGTTATATGCACGTAGAAGAAACCAGAATCGATGAGGAAACCTCAAAAAAATAGAGGAAAGATTGAACATCTATGGAGAGGCTTGGATGCTGTTTTGTGATTCACTCAGGACTGTGAGTGTGGGGTCATATGACATCCAGCTAATAATGTGACTTGGGCACTCAGTCAACTCCTGAAGAGGTTGTGTGACAAACTCGCTCTCCTCAGTGGCTTTGTTGGATTGGAGAAATAGTTTTAAAGGGGAATTGCATACATTTTTCAAAATTCCTGAGTAATTCAGCCAGTGAGATGTAAACAAAGTCATTTATAGGGTAGTTTGATGTGAAAATGGTATATTGTAAAGAAACTTACCGACTCAAGATTTCTTAACACTGGCGGAGATGAGAACCAGGGGTCGCAAGGTCAACAGTGCAAC